CCCACTCTGTCTCGACCCTCCTAATGAAGAGATGCATTATGATGTGATTTCATTTGGGCCTGCAGAAAAGCTGCTGTGGATAACAGAGCAGTCTGAGTAGCATGGTTCATTTGTGTAGTGACATGTGACTTGTGTTTTCGTGAGTCATAAGGATCTCCTGCCTAATGGAAGGCAGTGTGTGCTCATGTGACGGTGACACAATGCAGGATGGACTAGTATTCACCAGAGCTCAGCTTGGCTACTGTTTGGCACCGCTAATAGGGACCCATGAGCGCCTTTTTATCTTGTTAATTTCTCTCGTAGTGAAACAAAACAAACCACAATTTCTGTTCCTGTCACTGAAGGCCTTTTTGGCTGTAGCTGCTTCGTAATCTCTTCAAAACTCCGACCAAAAAAAAGTGGTTTTCAACAACTTGCAAAGCTGTTTACATTTGTGTGTTTGTAGATATGAATGCATGCATGTGTGCGCACGAGTACTGCATCATGATCTCCCCTATGGTCACGGTGGTGTTTTTGCTGGCTCATCCCTGCCTCTCCACATGCCTGTTTAACAACACAGAGCTCCTCCTTACTGGCTTCCTGTCCAAACCAGTTTATCTGTAAACAAGTGTGTTTTTTTTCTCTCCGCCCCATTGTCCACGCTACACCAGAATGCATACACAATGGGCGCCCTCTCTCTCCCAGTCTGCTTTTGTACTCCAAAGTAAAAAACATTATGTTTTTTTACTGCACGGCAATGCAAAGAAATGATCTGCTCCTTGATGACTGGAGAAATATAAAGTTTTAAAACACCATTACCCGCTAAAGTTGTGTGCCTCTATTCACTTAAGCACACCATAAAACTAATATCAGGTTGCAGCTAATTCTTTTTCCAGTGCACCCTGGTGGAGCCAACGACTGACATAGCAGGTGAATGTTATGTATTGTTATTATGTGTGCATTGGGATGAAATGGCTGTCTCTGTTTATCTTGCCCGAGGTACACTATGCTACACTAGATATGATAACAGCAGGGTTATTGTGGCAGAGCCCAACCCGTCCCTGCTTCGGCCATCGCATGCACGCTACAGTGTGGCTGCGTGTACTCGTGTGGTGTTGCCAGGCTAATCTTGAATTGAGAAGAAGTGGTTATGCCATGTAATGTACTTTTAAAAAAGTTTTTCAGAAATGGGGCAACTGAAGAGGAAACTTCAAATTAGAGGGCAATATGATGTCACAGCAATTTAAGATAAGCAAGCAATGTCCTCGTTTGAACTGTGGGAAATAAACTAAGACGGTCTTAAAAACCCAACCCCACATTATGATTGAGAGGAGCACGGCAGACGGACGTAACTGCTGGCCCTTTATCCTTTACCTCAGAGTTAAGGCTTTTATTTATTTACATATTTTTGTTCATCTTTCATAAACTGGTTTGCATCTCTTTGGCCTCAGGAGGAACATCACTGATTCCTTTACTCATTGTTTGTTTGACCTCATACCAGATGTCCTACTCCTGTCATTTATAGCTGCAATGTTTATTTGGCTATCACTTGATTGTTTTTGATCAGCCTGTCACTCCAGAACAAGCTATATTGTTCTAACTGTAGATAAGCACCCATTATATAAATAAGGAACACATTTTGAATAGACATTCATGACACTCATATGAAGGATGGTAAGAAAAGTATTGCAATATTTTCACCACACGTAGGATGATACATGCACCTACTGTGAAAACCTCTGGTTGGATATGTGAAATGCCAAGGCAGTTATTAGAATATGTTTTTATAATATGATATAATAAAAAAAAATGCAATGCTAAGACAGGCAACTTTGCATTTTTATTTTTATTATTACCAGTTCTAGTTTTACTGTGCTGCAGTTCTGCTTGTGGTTTGTCCAAGTGGTGTTGTTGTACCACAGCAGAACACGGCTCACGAGCGTATTCAGCTAGCGTTAACTGTAAAACTTCAATTAATAACTTGGGCTGCTATTTGTTTAAATCACTGATATTGACAGGCTTATATTTGGGACAGGCCTTTACTTCCTTTTACACAAAACTTTTGCTCAGCAAAGATTGGAAATGCAATCAAAATGTTTATTTAAACCTGTATGAATATTACTTGTTTGAAAATTTGGTTTCAGATAATAAATCAATTGTGAATCATTCTTTTGATCTAGCTCCGAAAGACAGCGCATTGGAGAGGATTACATCACCCTGTTAAAACAATACTCACAACTTGGATTCATTTTTATGAAAAAAACTCTTTTGATTCTTTAGATCTGAGGACCGATATGGACTAAAGGAGTATAGATAACTAACAGGGTAATCAAGCAACGGACACATAATTTGAGGTAGCCAACAATCCGGTTTTATACATCCAAAGAACTTCTATAAAAAAAAATGAACTGCTTGGCAACTAGCATTAAGCTTTTAATTCAGACAGGCTTTTATTTGTCAAAATGTGTAGCCACACCAGGCTAGTAAAAGGGACTGGGCGTTAAATTGGGACTAGGCTTTTAAATTAAGGTTTACGGGATATTTGTCAGATATCGTTTACGTTGTGTTGCATGTATAATTTATGCAGTCAGCCGTAGCTCTCATTTACTGCATATTCGTATAGTATACTGTATGGATTATGATTTAAAAAAAAAAGATATAGAGTTGAAGAAATGTATTCAAATTGATTTTTTTTGTGTGTGCGTGGGGGTGGGGGGGGGGGGGGGGGGGGGGGGGGGGGGGGGGCTGGGCAGATTTGCCCCACCCCGTGTTAACTCCTTGGCTACGGCCCTGTGATAAGCTGTAACACTAAATAGTGTGTTTATATGCCCACTGTTTGAACTGTGTTTTTATGACTCTGACAACAAACATGTAAAAGACCTCAATTCACATTTTTGTCTAGGATGTCTCTACAAAAAGTGAAGTAAAATGCAATAGCTGACAGCCGACATACTAATGTGGGTCATCTGAGTGAGGATCATTGCTCTTAGTCACTGCTGTTTTGTTGTGGATCACTATGGAGTGAGCTCTTGACATGGATGGATTACTGAGCGGGCCAACTGGGTGTAGGCCTAGGGGTCCAAAGTGTCAGGAGGCCCCCTGGCCTTCACTTGCAGAATGTCAGGTGTCAAATTAACACATACTGACAAGGTAAAGACTTGAAATGACCACAAAGAGACACAAAAAGATGTATACCCACTACAAAGAGATGCAAAACTACCACAAAATCTGTGTGTCTCTGATCTATAGAGTGAGTCCAGGGATGATGTTTTTCTGTAGGGTGACACATCGCCCTGGTTCCCTCGTCAAAACGCCAATGGGATGTTTCCATTGGATTTTGGCTCATTGCTGAAAAGAAACAAACATTTATGATATTTACACATTTTAGTCACATAAAAGCTTCAAAATAAATGAGTGGGCTATTTATTGACACAGTTTATGTCGTAGAACAAAACGTGAAAGTCTCTAAACCACAGACCTTATTTCAGGTGTCCAAAAAACCCATTGACTTAAAGACGGAGGAACCAGGAGTGCTGAAATGCTAACTCATTTCTGGGTTTAGGACTCATCCCTGGGTAGCTATGTAGGAGAGGTGGTGGGGCCCTTTGTATATCTGTGCCCAGGTGCCCACTGTCTCATTATCCGCCCATGGCTTTTGAATTTGCTCAGTTCAGTTATATAAAACCAGGTTGTTGTCTACCTCAAATTATGTGTCCATTCCTCAATTACCCTGTAAGTTATTCATATTACTCTAGTCTGTAAGGGTCCTCAGATCAAAAGAATCAAAAGGGTTTTTCATAAAAATTAATCCAAGTTGTGAGTGTTGTTTTAACAGGATAAAGTGGTGCTGTGTCGGCATGCCGGGTGCCGTAATCCTCTCTGATGGTGATGTCATAATTGATATATTATCTGACACGTAATTTTTAAACAAGTTATATTCACACTGGTTCAAATAAACAATTTGATTGTATTACCCATCTTTGCAGAGCAACAGTTTTGTGTGATAGGAATTAAAGGCCTGTCCCAAATATAAGCCTGTCGATGGACAAACCTGGACAAACCACAAGCAGAAGTGCAGCACCATAAAACTAGAACTGGTAAAAAAAAACCCAATAATAATAATAATAACAATAACAATAAAGCATGGTTGCCTGTCTTAGCTTAGTATTTTTTTTTTTTTGTTTGTTTTTTATAAATAGCATTTATGAGTAGGTGCATATTTTGTCTTATGGGCATCTAAGACTGGTGCATAATATGTTGCAATACTTTTGGTACCATCCTTCATATGAGCATCATGAATGTATGTTCAAAATGTGTTCCTTATTCATAGATTGGCTTCTTGTCTGCAGTTAGAACAGTAGAGCTTGTTCTGGAGTGACAGGCCAACAGATAGCCAAATAAAGCACAATAAAAGCAGCCATAAATGACAGCAGTATGACATTTGGTGTGAGGCTGGGGATGCCTGTCTTGAATATAGGCCTGTTGATTTCAGTGATTTAAGCACATAATAGTCCAGGCTACTAATTTCAGTTTTACAGTATACTATTTATTTATGTCAGGCTTTGAATATAGTGCATCTATGGTGCTTAATAATAATGCACTTTTGGTCTCTGTCTGTGTATCCCTATGGAGTTCTTGTGGTACATTTTGTGACTTATAAAAGCTGCATTGTGTAATTAGTAGGGCACAGCAGTTACTATGGATCGTGGCAGTCATTTCGTGTCAAATATTCTGGTTTGAACAAGTTTGAACGTACAGGTTTTTAGCTGTAGGAGGCTGCTGTTGGAGCCGCCGAGGCACCGAAAGGGTTAATTTGACTCTCTCTGTTGAACGCTGCGTGGGCTGCTAGATCATTCGAGAGTGCATTTTCACAGACCAATCAGCGGCGCGGAGTCCAGTCCGCGTTCAGCCAATGGGGAGCGTCGGAGGCTCTATCGAATTTGAATGAGGAGTGTATCTTTCGGCGCCATTTTCGAGTGAGCAGCGATTGCCTCAGCAGCTGCGGAGAGAGGATGCTGCGAATGTAGAGAGCTGTCGCTGAGACGGGGGAGAAACCAAGCGCTCAAAATTAAACTGCGCTTTTTAAGAGGAGGGGGAGGACGCGTATTTTCAATGGAAACACAGGTAAATGACGCCACAAAGTATTTTAAATTGATTTTAATCGGACGGTGTGCGCGGACTGGAGGAGAGGAGTACGTGGAGAAGAGGAGAGACCGACCGTGGTGGGGGAGACGTTAGCCATTTGGCCAGCTTTGCCAGCTTGTACTACTCGTAGCAGCTAGCCTGTTAGCTTAGCCTGCTAGCTCACACAGAGGGAATTCTGACTTTGCTGCGCTGTAACGGTAGAAAAAAATATGCGCTCTCACAGCGGTCCGTTTTATCCAGGAGGTGGGAGGGATATATATATTTTTAAAAAGCGAATACGCTGATTATTATTTCCACTTAACTTGTAGGGATATGAATCAAAGTTGAAGTATAATGGAGTATTTTTTTTTCGCATTGGAGCCTAGTTTTTTGAGCGGGAGGTGCAAAAGCAGCCAGGCTCGAGCAGAGAGGAGCACAGACGGCAGTGTCAACAAACGCACACGGCACCTACACTGGGTTGGGAGGGAAAAAAATCAAACCCGGGACAGACTGTCTTTTTGTGGTAACTTAATTTTACCAAGCTTGTTAACTGAGGCACTTTATACACCCGAGCTGGTGAATTGCATATGTGTTGATGTACGCGTTTTTATGGGGGGTTGTTAGACAGAAAACACCTGGTAAGTTTATTATATCGCTGTATGACCTTACAGTCATGACGGAGTTTGTTTTATTTTCCTATCTGTGGTGCTTAACGTTATCTCTTGTGTTAACGTAACTCCCATGACCAGGAACGCAACCAAATAATTGCTCTGCAGCGTTGGGTGTTTTCTGTGTATTTGTGTGTGTTTAATAGATTTGAATATCGTGCCTTAATGCCGCTTGATCAGTGTGGCTCCCAGCCAAGTGACAACAATCACAGGTCGCTACTTCTGATGATTCAACTTTAATAGCTGTGTTAAACGTCAGACGGATGGCTGTCATAACCACTAACGATGCTGTAAAGTTGAATTAACGCTAGTTATTGGGAATAAAAATCGTATTGTTAGTTGCGGGGCTGCTCGTGGCTCGCTGTAATGTTAAGGGGGGGTGGGGGGTGGGTTCTGGCTCATCGTAGTTTGATGCAGGAGGGATCCCAGTCATTGCCTTTCGTCTCCTTTTGCCTTTTTTGCCCTTACCAGCCTCGCTCCACTTTCTGTGTGCCCTGGACTCTGATTAAATTCAAGTACATTGAAGGAGGAAAAAACTACGTGGTCAGATCGGTGCAGTAAAGAGTCACAAAACGGAGCGGAGCATTAGTTACTAAAGAGTTTGCATGTTTGACATTTTACCCTGCCTTTTGCTTCCCATAATGAACATGACTACTCGACTAATAAAGCAGAAGAGAGGAAAAGAGAGGCTCCACATAATTGTGCGTCTAAACCCGCCCCTTCTACTTCCTTCTAAGTAGAGATCGGTTTAATGTGTTACATAATGCGAGGCCTTCCTATCTTTTACAGTGTTGCTTTTATTTGAACAAATACGTGTCTACATTGACAAGTATCATGTTTGCATTTCTGGAAAATACTGATTGAATTTAACTGCGTTGAGAACATGAGACAGTGTGTAAGCACCTCTGTCTGTTTTCCCCTGCAATGCCTTTTTTCCCCCCATGGCCCGTCACAAATGACAGTGTGCTTACTAATAGCATTTTTCCAGGATATATATATATTTTTTTATTTTGCCATACATACTCTGCAGCAGTAAGGTTAAGAGTTGTGTCTCCACTTCAATTAGATATGCATGACCTGAATGAAAATGTACCTAAATACCATTATGTACAGCTTTCTCCACTGAAATTGCAGATTGCACCCTGAGTATGATATTTTTTTGTAGAAGTGGGACAGCATTTTCACGATAAAACCGCCCACCTCATATAAAAACATTTTGTTTATTTATTTTTGTGGCATTTATTTGGAGGGAAATTAGCTAAGTGATTTGAGGGAAAGACCTTTCACAGCCACATAGCAGAGCAAAGGGGTGGTGGAGGAGGAAATAACTGTACTATAAGTTTTGATGTGTGTGACTGACAGGGAAACTTTGTGGGTGTATGGAGCGCAATGAATAGTGTGATAACTTAAAAAATGTGACAGCCGTGTAATTATCTGCTTTAGAAAAAAACAGAAATTGGTTGATATTTAATGTACACTACATGGTGTATTTAAAACTGATGGGTGTCCACTTATCTCCATACATGTGGCTGTGTTAACTACAGTATGAAGTACACACATAATGTTAAAAAAATCTACTACTGTTTATTGATTCATAGATTTCTTGTTAATTGTTGATAAATTGATCTAGTGTTTAAAAAAAAATCAGGTCACCACATCTAACTTGGGATGTGTTTCGTAGTGGTATGTTTCATATCCCCAGAAAGAATTTATGTAAAAGTAGTGCATGGAAAATGTAATTATTCAAAGCTTTATATGTAAATGTTTTTATAGGATATATTCACAATACTCTGTGTGTCTGTGTGTGTATATACACACTCAAAAATAATGAGAGACTAAGTACACCTGCCTGCTTATTTCATGCTAAAAGTTGATACTGTCTGCCCACCGGTCTGTGATCATCAGCCAAATAGCTGGTAGCAGTTTTAAAGACAGGAAGTGTAATTGCTCTTATTCTGTAAATGTATAAAAATATCACTAAACACTCGGCCAGTTAAGTGTAGATATTAAAAAATCCCTTTGAAAATTTTATGATTCACACTGTGGATCTATTTTTTTAAAATGGAAAAAGGCAAAAATACACACCATAGACAGTACCTCAAATTTCAGTTGAAGCAGCATTAATGATTATTAAAATCCACTTTCATCCAGTTTAGTTGATGGCAGCAATCTTTTGTAATCAGTTTTACAATATCAGCTGCAGTGTGTGTGCTTATTGCTGATATTTCTGTTTCTTAAAAGGTACAGATTTGAATTTGTTAGATATGATCTCCAGAGGCGACGAGGTAGCACTTTGTCAAAGTGAAATTTTACGATCAAGAATCTTAGTAATATATAAACTTGTGCACAGTGGCTGTGTAGTTTTACAGTGTGTATCAGTTGTGCTCATTCAGGTGGAATAGGTGTAATATTGTGATCATATTCTGACGAGGGACTACATTGTTGTTGATACTGGCCCTGTATGTATTTGTTAATATAGTACTGGTGTATTTTAAGTTTTTATTCCCGTGGTACCTACACTTAATTAATGCTACAGGTCTGTGTCTCCCCTGCGTTCTCTGGCATTTGCCTCTTAACTCTTTTTGTGGAGCACCGTTGTGCTGTTTCAGGCTGTTAGCATGACATTCTGTGACTCATCATTCTGTCTTCTCAGACCCCTCCGGCAAAATGGGTTCCCACCCCCATTTCCTGGTGAAACTGTGCCTCTCTTCTTGTACTTGCTCACATGTGTTGTGGTAGGCTGCAGAGAACCCCCCCCTTCTCTTCCTTCTTTCTGCAACACTCAGCACAAACTTGATAGTATTCAAATTTTCAGTGATGGGAACAGGTTTTCACGGGTCATGTTGGTTGTTTTCCAGAAGTTGGCGTTGGTTTCACTTCTATGCTTCAGCAGCATTAAATAAAAGCTGTCAGATTATGTGCACCAGCCAGGTCTCTCACAGACATGATTCAAGTTCAGAGATAGTTTGAAAGTGATCAGTGAAGGTGAGACTAAAGTTTAGATGTGATCTTTTGTGAAAATGAGTATCAATGTACTTTGCATGGTACAAGTTAAGGCTGACAAAACCAGTGGCAGCAGCTCAGCATGTGAGGGTGCCAGGTCCTTGCATGCTTCTTACAAGCATATGTTTTGCATTGGCTTTGATTTTTTTGCATACAGTAGGTTCTACATCACTGTAGTACACAGGGCTTTACACCTGTTTCAATTAAATGGTGAAGATGTTAGAAAACTGCTAGTTTTGGTGGCATTAGCATTTTAAAATAATTACCGGTTATGTGTCTAACTGCTGTTATGGGTTGTGTGTAATCTAGTGAGTGGAAAACGTTGGTGGAATTTTGTGGCCTGCTGAAATAAGATAATCTGTCGTGAACAGTGATGTGTTTAGGTGGTCAATTAGCAGCTTTAAAAATGTTTGTAAATTTTCAAAAAGGTCAAGCACTCTTCTGTAAAAGTCAGGCCTTTTGATACTCTGCAGCTGCACTCAGAAAGTTGCAGATTCCCTTTTATTGTTGTTTTTGTGTAGTGACAGAAATACTTACGGACATGGACAGCATGTTTAGAAAGATTACGTCAGCTGTTAACAGTGCTGGTGAATTCTCTGCTTGATAATTAAATTTTAGGTAGTAATATGATAACCTGCAACAGCACTGGCAGTAAGATCTGACATAGCAAGAGTATGCCTCCTCTGACTACACACACATGGTGTTTTCATTACGGCTGCACCAGCCTTCTTCTTTTTTTTTTTACCTGAGGGTGCTCGATTAGCCCACATTATTAACTTGTGAGCAGTTTGATTGGGAAGATTTATAGTGATCCTAAATTATTGGTGTCTGGTTTGTGTGTTTTCATTTTAGTGGCTCTAACTTGGTGAGCAGGTATCACCTCACCCAGTGTCCCCAGTCAGGCAGTGTGCTGGAGTGCAGAGAGGCCAGATATTTTCACATATGTGACCAACAATTTTTAATTTGGCCAGTTTTTAAAGTTTGCTTCAAGAAAAACTTGTGGCATATTTGCCACAGTGATATTTGCATACATAATTTTAGATTTGCAGCTGTAACTCATGTTGATGTGCTGGTGTGTAATTGTCAGTGCCCATACAGTTATAAGTAGGTGGGTCAAGCCTGGCAAGGAACGTGGTGAGGTAATTAGAGAGATTATTAATGCCTGAATTTACATGTAATTAATTTTAATTTGAGCCCAAACATAAATAAGAGCCATTACACATTTATTTATTTAATTATTTATTTCAATTTAGTGTCAACATAAAATTCAGTCAGCAGTGTAACAACAAAACTTGACGTCCATGGAAAGCCTCATTATTTTTAGTGGGC